GCAAGCTGCGGCGCCGCTCCACCACGTCGCGGGCCAAGCTGGCCTTCAAGCGCGGCGCGCGCCTCACCTCCACCGGCCTCACCTTCATGGACCGCGCCGGCTCCCTCTACTGGCCCATGTCGCCCTTCCTGTCCCTGCACCACCCCCGCGCCAGCAGCACTTTGAGCTACAACGGCACCACGTCGGCCTACCCCAGCCACCCCATGCCCTACAGCTCCGTGTTGACTCAGAACTCGCTGGGCAACAACCACTCCTTCTCCACGGCCAACGGGCTGAGCGTGGACCGGCTGGTCAACGGGGAGATCCCCTACGCCACGCACCACCTCACGGCCGCCGCGCTGGCCGCCTCCGTGCCCTGCGGCCTGTCGGTGCCCTGCTCCGGGACCTACTCCCTCAACCCCTGCTCCGTCAACCTGCTCGCGGGCCAGACCAGTTACTTTTTCCCCCACGTCCCGCACCCGTCAATGACTTCGCAGAGCAGCACGTCCATGAGCGCCCGCGCCGCGTCCTCCTCCACGTCGCCGCAGGCCCCCTCGACCCTGCCCTGTGAGTCTTTAAGACCCTCTTTGCCGAGTTTTACGACGGGACTGTCCGGGGGACTGTCTGATTATTTCACGCATCAGAATCAGGGGTCTTCTTCCAACCCTTTAATACATTAACATCCCTGGGACCAGACTGTAAGTGAACGTTTTACACACATTTGCATTGTAAATGATAATTAAAAAATAAGTCCAGGTATTTTTTATTAAGCCCCCACCCCCCCCACCCCATTTCTGTACGTTTGTTCAGTCTCTAGGGTTGTTTATTATTCTAACAAGGTGTGGAGTGTCAGCGAGGTGCAATGTGGGGAGAATACATTGTAGAATATAAGGTTTGGAAGTCAAAATTATAGTAGAATGTGTATCTAAATAGTGACTGCTTTGCCATTTCATTCAAACCTGACAAGTCTATCTCTAAGAGCCGCCAGATTTCCATGTGTGCAGTATTATAAGTTATCATGGATCAATATGGTGGACGCAGACCTCGAGAACAACCTAAATTATGGGGAGAGTTTTAAAATGTTAAACTGTAATTTGTATTTAAGAAGCATTCGTAGTAAAGGTGCCCAAGACATTATTTTGGCCATTTATTGTTTTGTCCTTTTCTTTAAAGAACTGTTTTTTTTTTTCTTTCTTTTTCTTCTTTTGTTTACTTTTAGACCAAAGATTGGGTTCTAGAAAATGCACTTGGTATACTAAGTATTAAAACAAACAAACAAAAAGGAAAGTTGTTTCAGTTGGCAACACTGCCCATTCAATTGAATCGGAAGGGGACAAAATTAAGATTGCCTTCAGTTTGTGTTGTGTATATTTTGATGTATGTGGTCACTAACAGGTCACTTTTATTTTTTCTAAATGTAGTGAAATGTTAATACCTATTGTACTTATAGGTAAACCTTGCAAATATGTAACCTGTGTTGCGCAAATGCCGCATAAATTTGAGTGATTGTTAATGTTGTCTTAAAATTTCTTGATTGTGATACTGTGGTCATATGCCCGTGTTTGTCACTTACAAAAATGTTTACTATGAACACACAGAAATAAAAAATAGGCTAAATTCATATATATCTTGATACTTTTGTCTCTTTTATTAAGTAAAGCTATTTTTTTTAAGACCATTCAAGTTGTAGGGAATTCAAAGGCTTTTTCAGCCAAACGAAAATGTAACTGCTCCTTTAATTTGTACTGAGATTCTAAAAATGAAAATAGTATTTTTTTTCCCTTTGTGGACAAATTTTATAAGGAGCAGGCTATTTAATAAGCACTAGCTTTAGACAATTATAGGCTTTGCAGCTGATATCTTTAAGTTACTGTGGATATACAGCAAAAAGAGAAATAATTTAATTTTATGTGCATAGCTGTTTACCCTGTGTTTATTTTCAAATCAATTAATAGAATGCTTTTTATATATTTTGTTTCAGGTATCTTGTTAATAGCACTTGGCAAATTATAAATAAATATATGTATATGGTTAGATAGAAGTGAATATAATGCACACATTTGTAATATATATAGACACACAGAGCCCTTCAGTTCAGGTACAATATGCGCTATGAATGCTGCAGACATTTTTGTTTAAATATTTGTATTTATACTTTATAAGTCAGCATTTATTTTTGTGGCTGTTTACCCACAATGAAAGAGTTCTAATAAAGATGTGCTGAAGTTGCAATATAGATTTTGCTGAAGTGATCACCTGTTGTAATGACTTGAAGATCAATGTTTATATTTTATTTTTAAATTATAACAATTTAAAATTCTAGCTATTTGGAAGGAGTACAATGCCTCTCCTTTTAAAAAATTTTTACGATGTAGAGGTGTTTATTTGCTGCCTTTAAAAATGTCTGTATAATCTAGAGATTTGTTTCTTTTGCTTACATGAGTCATACTTTTGTTTTAACTTGCCATATGCATATGTATGCATATACTGTATATGCATATATATGCAATAAATGAAAACATTTTTGAATTGTTTCAAGCAACCCAATTGCTATAATTCCAGAAAATAATTAGAAAACCTGAGTAAAAGGTTTAGTAACTAATTGGATCCTGTGGTGAATCTGTGGAGGACAAGTTGTTCATTTGTTACAATTGTATAGTCTGAAATGTGTTCTGCAGTAATGCAATAAGCTGGCTACTTCTTACAATGGGCCCAATGAAAAATAATCTGTCCCTAAGATGTTATCGTCAAACACTTAGAGAGTTACTCTGGGGGAGGGAAGGGAAAGGAAAAAAAAAAAAAAAAAAAACCCAGGGAAAAGAAAGCTGACTGAAATAGATTTGAAATTGAAATGCAAAAGGCTTAATACTGAAAAATAGGGGATGAGTGGGTTGTGGAGTGGAGAGAGAGAGAGAGGAAGAATATTTTTGCTGGAATAAAAAACTCCTACCACTTAATAATAATAACAACAAGAATAACAATAATAAATGAGAGAGAGAGAGAAATTGTGAGAGCAACACTTAAGAAAGAAAGATATGGGTCAGGAAAATTAAAAGAGCTGGAACCAAATACACACAAATGCAGAATGGACAAAAATAGACCAAGACAGCTAGTTTATCTCCTTTAAGCAGCTAGACATAATTTTATTTTCTTTATATGAGGACAGTTTCACCAGAGGGCCAAGTTTTTTGAAATTTAATAATTCTTCAGAATCAAGCATTAAAAAATTTCACATATTATCGTTTTAAGAGCCAAATTTATAGCTGATATTAAAAATAGCAATAGAGTCCAAGAGAATGAATTTAGGCAAAGGAAAATCCCCATTACACATTTGTGAGCCAAAATAGCTCGAAGAAAGGCATATATTTAGGTTGGAAAAGGGTGGCAATCTATTGTTTGCTTCTGACATGGATTTTCTCTGTGAGATGAGAATGTTTCAGCACAGGGGAAATATAGTATTTTGCTTACCAAAAGTTGAAAAGAAAGTAGAGCTCTCATTCTGAGATAAAGGGACATAGATTTTTTTAAAAAAGATTTTCTGCATGAGTTTTTTTTTTTTTTTTTTTTTTTTTTTCTGGCCACGGGAAAATAACTATACCTATTTGTGATTACATGTGTTTATTTGGATGATACAGAATAGAATTTTAGTGGCAAATTTCATACTTTGACGTCAGGAGTAAAATTGACTTCTTCGAATCCATAGAAACTAAGCATTGGAGTGGAAGTTCGACTTGGACACGTGTCGAAATTACGTATGCGACAGATACGATTAGAAATTTGTTTATTAGGTATACTAGACAGGAAAAAGGGATATACAGAGATAAAACTTTGTAAAGGCCTTGTGAAGCCCAATAAGAACATTTCATTTATCTTGATCTATCTTATCACCCCTCAAGTTATCTTCTCAAAAAAACACATGACAGTCTAGCATGGCATTTTATACATTTTTTGCATGAAACTCGTTGTAATGTTGTTTTATTTGTTGCCACGACCTTTGACAGTTAAGATTAGGCTATGTCAAAAAATAAATAAATAAATAAATAAGAAAACAAAACCAAACAGAAAAATCTTCAAAACTTTTTGAAGATTTTTTTCTTTCATACTTTCAATTGTTTTTAATGAAATGAAGGTCGTCTTTTTTGAAATTTTGGAACTGAAAGTGATCACACGTAAAACTCGAAATCCCAAATTAAAGTTTATTTTCAGGTGTAAAATATTTTACTCCCATTTGTTTAAGATAAAGTTTAAAATATTAATATATAAAACTCTGTGAAAATAATTTAACTGGAGCAGTGACAGTATTCAGCTTGTTATAAAATCAGGAACGAAGGGAACATAAAGTCTAGAACTAACAAGATTTAATACTGATGTCCTTTTGGTCATGGAAGACTCCATCTGGTTTCTATGACTTGCATACGACCAAAGCCAGAGGCAAAAGTGAGTTTTGCAGTGTATTGATTTAAATATATATTTAAGTTGGTCCATATTTCACCCAAATAGTGGATACATTTAATTATTTCAAATTATGTGTGGGGTTTTTTAAAGTCTATTTTCTACGACATTGTTGAGGAATATGCATGCATTGAAAAGGATTGCTTTTGAGAAATTAATTTTATGAATAGCTAAAGTGGTTGGTTGTGTTTGAGACTAAAAGCCTGTTGGAGAATTGAGCTAACAAAGGGTGAAGGTGAAGATCATTAGAGGTTTTAGAGCTGGCGGAGAGGGGTTGCTGGGGTTGTGTAACTGTGCCTAGAGGGCGGGGTTCCTGTACATTCCTACTTCACCAGATAACCTGCCCCCAACACCACTCCAGCTTCTGCCAGACAGATGGAACTCTCCAACATGAAAATCTGCGCAGCCATTCCAGCAAGCAGGGTAGGTGAAACTGAAATCCCCCCCTCCCTTTATTTTTCTACTTGAGGCCAGATCCTGGAGATATGGAAAGAATAGAGGTCATCTAGATTCTCTCTTTCACTACACTCGCCTGCATTCCTCTTAGAGCTACCTACCTGTAAGAGTTAAAAGGCCCTAGCGATCTTTCCCAGTGAATATTTCATGCGCGATTTTCTTTTGCGAGCATGCTTTAAACGCTTCTTTCCCCCATCCCAATCATTCCCCTTTTCTACTCTCCCTCCAGGGCCCCTTCCCCTCAATCACCAGCAGTTAAAATAATCCATCGCTTAGTTTTTGGCCCCCCAGTCGACCCTTCTCCCGTCCTAGCGGTCAGTTCTGCCGGACCTTATCCTGAGGATGTAGGCCAAGGGGGCTCCAGGAGGGGCAAATACCTGATGCACCGTTATGTTTCGTGTCTCCCTTCTCCTTCCCGATTTCTATCT